AGCTTCTGGGGAAAGCCCTGGCACAGTCTGACTTGCAGGGAAGGCCCAGGTCCACAGGGACACAGAAGCTGGGATGCGAGGGCCATGCCAGGCCCCGTCTTGCTGACTTCTGGAATCCCGTGCTCCCCAAAGACAGCACTGCCCAGCCCTGCTTCTCTGTAGGAAGCTGACTTTCTGGAAGGTGTTGAATTCTCTTTCTTTAGGGGCTGTGCTTTCTTTGGACCCTGTGGATCCCTGCTCTGGGTTAAGATAATATTTTGAACAATGTGTGAAAACCATTTGGCTGACTGTGGTCCTCCAGAGCCACCACTGCCTTATGTCCAACTCTGCTGCTGGCAGAGCCCTTTGCCCCGTCTCCAGGGATTCCGGGGTTTTGGACGCCAGTGTGGAGAAAATCTGGCCTTGGAAAATCGGACAGTGACCTCCCTGGGTGTTGGCAGATGTTTCCTGTACTCAGTGACCTCATCAACTGCGAAGACAGATGCGTCTGTATGTCTCCCTATAAGAGGAGGCCAGTGCCCCCCATGGCCTTGGAGTCCCGAGGGTCACCATAGTCCTGGCCACCTCCAGCCGCCCTCCGTTGTGGGGGATGGAAAGGAAGTGGCACAGGCTGCCCTGCATGCCTGAGCTCCTGGGGCAACCAACCAGGCCAGCTCCAGCTGTGATCGGAATGAAGGACTTGAGTTCCAGGCTGGCAGGGGCCACTGTGCGGATCCGGGACCTGGGTGAAGCCTGGAGGGCAGGAGGCTGGGGCGGGGCCCCTGAGCCCTGCCGTCAGTTCCTGAAGCACCACGTCAGCGGCTGAAAAGTCACATTTTCCAAATGTCGAATCCTGCCTTCTCAGAATTCTCGCCTGCCCCCCTGAAGCCGGCCTGTCCAGCCGGGCCCACTACTTGGGTAAGGACACAGAGCTCTGAGAGGAAGTCCCTGTCAGGGACTGAACTGTGTCCCACACAAATTCGTATGTTGAAGTCCCGTCCCACAGTACCTCAGAACGTCACCGTGTTTGGAGATAGGATCTTTAAAGAAGTAATTGAAATAAAATGAAGTAATGGGGGTACCCTAATCCAGTTTGGCCAGTATCCTTACAATAAAAAGAGATGAGGATGCGCACACACACACACACACACACACACACACACACACACACAGAGGGATGATCACGTGAGGCCGCAGGGAAAAGATGTCCGTCTACAAGACAAAGACAGAGGCCTCCGGAGAAACCAGCCCTTCTGACACCTTGATCTCAGATTCAAGCCTCCAGAAATGTGACAAAACACATTTCTGTTGTTTAAGCCCCTCAGCCTGTGGTATTTTGTAATGGCGGCGCGAGCAGACCAACACAGTCCCCATAAGGATCTGAACAGCATGAGGTGAAAGCATTGTCCAGAAACAAGAATGTAGGGCCCTTGGGTAGGGCTGGAAGGAGCTGGACACGTCCCCTGGAGGAGAGGTGACAGCAGATGACACCATGTGAGGAGTGAAAACAGAACTGGAAAGAGTGGGGGGCTTGGCTTTCCCCAGCCCCCACGGGGCAGGAGTTTGGACATGGACAACACTCCAAATGACCAACAGGGACCCTGGGCAGTGGGGACAACAGGGCCCCACAGAGAGAGGTGACCAGTGCATGCAAGGACAAGACGACCACCTGGGCTGGGAGGTGAGGAGCAGCTTGTGGAGGGAGGGCTGGATGGAGAACACCTTCATGAAGCCTGCAGACCAGCGAGGGGAGGAGGCTGAGGAGACACACGCCTCTGGACCTTTGCTCTGATCGATGCCTCCTCACATCCCTGCCCTCACCACGGAGGGCACCCAGCAACTTCCGACGGCCCCATCACCCTCCTGAGGCCTTTCTCTGGCAAAGCCCACTCTGACAGATGTGGGGGAGCAGGGGGGTTAATAGTCCCCGAGAGCGGCCTTCAGCCAACGACTGGCAGGAGCAGGAATATAAATACCTCAGCTCACTCCCCTTGGCGCCATGCCTGAGTCCCAGTCAGACAAGCCCCTCTTAAGGCTCCTTCCCCTCCATGACTTACTTCTCTCTCCCCTAACCACGTTTCAGTGGCTGTCCAAATAAACTGCTGTACTTGAACTCTAGGCTCAGGGCCGTCTTCTGGAGTTGGCCCCTCTGGCCCCAGTTGTGTGCGTGGGGAGACTGGAGCCTCAGGTACCTCACAACACAGAGGTTTCAGAACTGCCCAAGCTCCACACAAGACCCGGCTTCCAAAGACCAGGCTCTGTGTGTTGAATACATTCCCTTTCTTCATCTGAGAGTCCTAGCTTTGGAGGGGAAAGTAATGGTTTTCCTGAGGGGGACACCCAAAGATAGTTCCAGTCCTGGAGCCAAGGTGTGAGCTCTGGAAGACTAATTCCCACCCCTATTTGTGGGTAAGAGCCTTGGCTGTTTCTCGCCGCCAACGCTCCTCTAGCTTATATCTGGAAAACTGGCAGAGGGGAGTCCGGGGCCGATGTGGGGCTCATGGTGGATCCCAAGGCCACGCCCCATCTCCCCACAGCCTGCTGGGACATGCTCTCTGCCTCCAGTCCCTGTGGTGTTTCTCCACCGTAGTGAAGGTCACTGCCCAGCAGCCATCATTGCCAATATTGCTATATTTAATTTTCTTTGATTTACCAATTCTAGCCCATTTGGAGAAAATAAAAAACCACCGTGCTCCCTCTGGTTTCTAAATGCTTCTGTCTTTTCCGTGTGTCTCCTGGAGGCCTGTGTATGTCTTCCCTTTCAGGGCTCCCTTGGATAATCGAGATGTCTAGAAATACCAAATCCCAAGTGAGATACGGTGAATTTATCATGCAGACTGCAGAGGACCTCTCAAATGAAGTCCCTTCAGAAGCCGGCTGAGCTTGGGAAGGCTGGGGCTCCTGATGGAGCGAAGACAGGCTCCACGTCTAAGAGCCATCTTGTGGTGGAAACCGCTCAAGGCTTGAGAGCCAAACAGGCCTGGACTCTAGTTCTGTCTGACTCAGCTGCTGCCCTCCCACAGGCCTCCAGCCCTGGGGCTCACCTGCCCATTTGGGAAATGGACACAAGGGCCGCCCGGCTCCCCGCACTTGACGAGAGGCCAGAATGGATACATGAAAAGCTTCCAGTCTGTATGGTCACAAGAACCTCGCGATGATCATCACTGTGGCCTTTATTACACTATTACATTTCCAGATACAAATACAAATTGTATTAATTTCCCCTGGGCGGGGGGAGTCCCTGCTCCCCTCTGTCAGCCAGGCAGCACAAGCGATAAGAAATGAGACTTAAAAGGAAGACTTTTAACTCCATAAGTTTTCATTCTCTGTGCTTAGAGGCCTCATGTCTTCCAGCGCAGCCCCACATTGAAGAGCAACTGTTCCTGCAGGTAATTCGGGGGATATCAGGGCTTGCTGGATATCAGGGCTCCTGACAAGCTCCTGCCTCCATGGGGTGGGGGCTTTCAGAGCGGCCCCTGCCTTCTCCACTGGCAGTGGTAGTGGCAGGGAATGTCCCTCCCGCCCCCCCCCCCACGGCAGTGCGGAGGTGTGGGCCCTCACGCCTGTCCTCCTTTCTAGATTGTTCTATGGTGATGACGCTGCTCCACACCCACAAAGCCGACAGCTCTTCATCTCCCGACCGCTCTAGTGACTCCAGAGCACACACTCTCCCCTTACTCCCTGTGTGGCAAGTCTCCCCAAGAACTAATTCTGTAATTGACACTGCCTACCCTGTTTTCCAGCTCCCGTGTGAGCGAGGCTGACCTACAGATCCCATCCAAACAGTGAGCAGTTGCTTCCTGACCAAGCTGCTTTCAAGAACAACAGGGATGTTTGTATCACGATTCGGTTAATTGAAACGCAAGAAATATAAAGGCTGCTCACAACTCCCAGTCTGTCCGTGCACAGCGACCTTTCCTCGCTGTTGTAAATCAAAAGGGAGCAGGAAGAAGCTGTCTGAGTCTGCCCAGCGACACCCTAGTAACTGCCATGCCCGCCGGGTCCCAGTCGACACTGACCGGGCAGGTAGACCATGCGGCCAGAGTGAGCAGTCCTTGGACCTGCCATCCACCCTCAGCTCGACACCAGCAACTTGTCCTCTAACGTCTCCTCGTCAACACAAAGCAAAGCAAGATGGGGGCCATGCTGTCTGGGCTGCACTGCAAAAGATCTGGCCCCTCCATCCATCTGCACCCCCTTAACAAGCACCCCTGAGCCGGCCCTTGGCATGGAAGGCTGGGCTGTGAGAGGATGAGGTATCCCACTCCATGCCAATTCTTTGCTGCTTCAGGTCGGATTCTAGAAGAAAAGTGTCACTTCTTTAAACATTTCAGTGACTCGAGCCCCAGCCCCACCCCATCCAGATGTTCGCCCAACTGTCTGCATTGGCAAATTGAATCCTGAGTATTCACTCTTTCCATGCTGACTTCTCCCACCCTGGGAACCTGGGGTCTCCCCTGAGCTTGCCAACCGAGTGGTGGACAGGGGTCAGAGGCTGGCTGCTGCCTGCTTCAGCTCCAGGCTCTGCCGGCCTCTCACCGTGTGACCCCGGGCACGTGGCTTAACCTCTCTGAACCTCGGCTCCTCCTCAGTAGTCAAAGGGGGAGATGAACATGAGACGCTCCCTCACTGGGTTGGCAACATATTTAATCACTTAAATCAGTGCCCGACGGTAGTAAGGGCTCTGTACGTGTTGGTTCTTTTGCTGGTCGCCCTCACTTGCAACTGATGTCCAGATGTCATAGAGAAACGGAGGTTCCAAATCCACTATCTCCAATCCAGCAGCTTCGGCACCATCCCACACCCACCGGAGTGTCACCTGAAGGTAAGCTTGGACGTCTGAGAACTGACCAGTAGCTGTCCTTAACCAAGGGGTGGATGGAGTGTGCAGGAGGTTTAAAATTCATACATGCACGACAGGCGACCCTTGTACCAAACAAGGGCCGCCTTCCTGCTCCATCCTGACCACCTCTCCCTGGCCAGCCCCGGCCCACAGCCCGGCGCGGGTGAACGGTACTCACGGAGGTGGTGTGCATAGCGGAGGTGGAAGACGTCACAGCCGTGCACGTGATGGTAGAGGGTCTTCTCGATCAGGTCCTGCGGCTCATACCCAGTCAGCTCGGTCACCCTGGGGGGTGGGGGGGACAGTGACTCTGTGGGTTACTCTGCTCTGCAGATTGTCTTTCATTTAAACTAATATTGATTTTGCCAACTAATCAAGTGCTAAAAGGCTCAGGGCAGGGGGTGATGTTGGTTTTGGAAACCGAGAATGATCTTTTTTACAAGAAGAGAGTCTTTGAACTCTAGCCCGGTGCAGGATGTAGCACTTTCATGAGTGGGAATGTTCTTCTGAAACTATCGGCTAGAAGAACATTTGGGATGGCTTAACGTGTTTTCCTCTTTCAGGGTGAAACTTCTCTGGGGGCGCTTACCAGTGAACTTTGATGCTGATAGTGGGAGAAAGACCCACTCTCCAGGGGCTTTGGGGTGACGGTCCAATGGGAACCTTTGTTTTTTTTTTTATTGTGGTAAAATATGCATAACAGAAACTTTGCCATTTTAACCTTTTTAAGTGTACATTTAGTGTCACTAACTACATCCACAAAGTTGTGTGACCAGCACCCTTTCCATCTCCAGAACTCTCCATTGCTCCCCACCTACCCACCCAGGTAACTGTCACTCTCCCTCTGTCTCTATGAATCTGTCTATTCCAGGTAGCTCATAGGAGAGGGACCACCTGGGTGGCTCAGTCGGTGAAGTGTCTGCCTTTGCCTTGGGTCATGATCCCGGGGTCCTGGGATCGAGCCCCGCATCGGGCTCCCTGCTTAGTGGGGAGTCTGCTTCTCCCTCTCCCTCTGCCTGCCACTCCCCCTGCTGTGCTCTCTCTCTGACAAATAAATAAATTAATTTAAAAAAATAGATATTTCAGAGGAGTGAAATGATTTGGCACATGTCCTTTTGTGTCTGGCTTCTTTCACTTGGCATCATGTTTTCAAGGTTCGCCGAAGTTGTAGCATGTGATAGGATATCGTTCGTTTTCATGGCTGGGTAATGTTCTATTGTGTGTAGATATCACGTGTGGTTTGTCCATTCACCCACTGCTGGCCACTTGGGTGGTTTCCACATCCTGGCTACTGTGTGTGTGAGCCTGGACGTCGCACACTGGACACGGTGGTCTCAGGATGCTCTGGTTGGGCAGTAGCATCTACAGACTAGCTGGGGACATGGACTCCTCCTATCAGTGGAGGATGGTTGCGCAGCCCCCAGAAAATAATAGAACAGCCCCCCCAAAATATTGTGACTGCAAGGTAAACCCGCAGTCCACTGGCAAAAGGGCAGCCTGCTCCTGGGGTTTTCCTGACACTACCACCTCTCTGTTCTCATCAAGCCCCAGGAATATGAATTTCCCATGTCAGCTCTTTGAAGAAAAGCGGCTCTCAACGTCCAAGACCACATCATCACTGGCATTCGGATCGCTCCGTCCAGAGGTGAAAATGGCAGGCGGCAGCGATGTTGTTTCCCAGGCCCTGGGCAACTGAGCTGGGAGCCGTGCCCTCAGAGGAGGTGGCCCGAACGTCTTGGTGACAGATATTCAAGAACAGATGAAAGAAGAGGACAAGAGGGATTCTAAGGGGGAGGGAGGCAGTCCTTGCGGGAGAGGTGGGGCCTGAGGACGGGCCGGGACTGGGGGTCCTGCTGGCTTGTATCTGAAATGTTGGCTGGAAATGAAACAGGGAAACCTGACCTCATTCCATAACCTGCTCCCCTTCCTGTTGAGTTCTGCATGGGCTTTGGGTCATAAATCTCCAGAAGCCTCATATTTCCCTGGAATCGGTCACTATTTGGTGTACACATTTCCATGGTGTTCCTTCAGGGTGGGAAGGAGACGGGGCTGGAGGTAGGTGGGAAAGGGAACGTGCCACGGCCTTTCTGGGCCCGGGCGACTTGTCTAAGGGCCACCTAGAACTTCAGGCCCCACTGGAGTCGAACTGTGTGGCAGGAAAACTGAGACCTGGCTTCTCCCCAAAAAGAAAACCTGGCATCTCTACTATGTGAGGATGAAAGAGGCTTCCCAGACCCTTTGGAAGTAAAGTTACAGAACAACGGCCCTGAACGTGTAAATGAATCAGAAACACATGTATTAAGTTTCTCATCAAAGTACACACTGGTTTTAAAAATTAAAGGGAAAGAGGAGGGTCTGGCAGCACGCCCTCCTGGTTTTTTCCAAACCTCCAGTGTCTGAAGACCTGTCAGAGGGATTTGCCAAACCCCAAACATGGCTGGGTTCACCCATCCTTAGCAAAAGCACCAGCTACAGTTTCAAAGTGAAATACCACAAAATCCCTATGAACCAAATTTCAGGTTATGCTGAGTTCAGTTGTGTCTGGGATTACACTGGGTGGGGAGCAAAGTGGCCACCCCCCAGTCCACCACCCAGGCCCCTGTGACTCTAGGGCCACTGGGCTTCAAGCCAACCTCACACTGTGGCTTCTGGGGTTTGGATGCAGGAGCTGACATCTCCCACCCCGCCAGGCCATCCTGCTGACCTCTGAGTCCTGGGCCGGCCCCTCTGTCCCCCAGCCCAGAGGCCTATCAAAGACCGAGCTGCAACAGACCGGAGACCAGAGTGAGTGTGAAGAATTCTCCAGCTCGTCTCCGACCCTCCTAAGTATCTGCTAGATGACTGGAGTTCAGAAGCTTTGCTAGAAGCTTCCTGGTACTTAGCTGGGAGAACAGCAGTGGACTTCTGCAGAGACAGGGAGTCTTCTTCAAGATCACTGTCTTTCTTTCCTACTCACCTCAGGGGTCCGGCCCTCACCCTGAAGTGGAGGGACGCTGGCATTCGAGAAAGTCCATGCCTGAGGCTCCCACCATGAGCTCGTCTCTCAGCTAACCTCCAGTACCCTCTTCTGCAAAACCCTCCTTCCGTCCTTCACGTTTCAAAGCTGTGTGCATCGAACAATTTGAGAAGACCTGAAATCTCTTCTCCCAGGGAGACCTCCCTCCTTCCTCTTCTAGAGAATTCACTGAGCCCCAGAGGCTTTTCCTAGAATCCTCAAAGGAAAACGAGGAGACAGACGTAACAAGGGAGACCCTCCCAAATGTGTGAAATAATGAACTTGGACAGCTGAAATTCCCTCCAGTTCACTTTTACAAGTGGCTCCTGAATCCAGAAAGAACCCCTTCCCACGGCCTGCTGTCACTTCCGCCACACCCCCAGGCAGCCCAACCCCCCGGGGCCCCTCTCTGGGCAGGGGCCTGTCTTCGCTGCAGGAAAACAGCATTTGTCAGCGTCTGGCCGCCCAAAGGTGCCGGCCTCCTTCCCCCAAAGAGTTACATGTACACTTTCTGGGAGCACAAAGCCAAGTCTGTCATGTCAACCTTTGTCATTTCTCTACCTATGAACAGTTCTGAGGTCCTGACGTGTGCTAACGGTGACCTAGGCTAATTCATGTCTTCGCCTCCCGCCCCTAACCAGATATGTGTGATTTTCTCCCATAACTGGTTAAAGTGACCAATTTTATGTCATGTACATTTTACCACTATAAAAAAGGTGGGGGAAAAAATCTATAAATCTTAGCAAAAATATATATATATTTATATTTACATATGGATGTATCTATTTCCTTTCTCCCAGAAAGCTTAGCCACACACACACCCAAAAGCAGAAGCGGGATCTCTGAACATTTAGCCTTCCCTGTACAGCTGAGGACTCTAGGGGGCTACCAGGCAAAGTGACTCACCTTGCAGTCCCATCAGGCTTTTTACTTTTACAAATGCTTCCTGTCTATGATCAAATTTCCGCTTTCCTAATAGCCTGTGGGTAGCCGAGTGGGCAGGGTGGGGCTGACTTGTTTTACAGATGAGAAAATGGAAGCCCAAAGAAGCCCGGCAGGCCTGAGGCCTCAAGGCTGGTGAAGCCTCACCAGCCGGCCCCTGCGGCCACTCCGGCACACCCCTCCCCGGTGTGGCGGGCTAGTGAACAACACATCAGGGCTTCCGCCTTGTTCACTCTCCCTTCTCTCTCTGAGACGAGATCCTCAGACCCAAGTAGTAGGAGGGCAAAGGATAGTTGAGAGAGATGGTTCTGGGGCCACTGCATCTTCGCCCTCCCCGCCAGCCAGGGGGTGCCCTCCTAGCCCAGGCCCAGATGGGGCACCCACTGAGCTCGCGGCCACAGCCTTCCCCAGGGAAGGCCACCTGCCTCTCGCAGCCTCAGCTCCGGTGGCTGCCACAGTCCGAACGGCTTCCCACCAGCCTGCGTGGGCAGCCCCCCCCCCCACAGTCCACACTCACAGTCTGTCTTTTTGATTTTAAGGTCCTACCTACTTGACAGAGATACAAGACAGAATCCTGACATCGTGGGCCTTCAAAAACGGCCAACTTGTGTCCACAACACATATTCCCAGTTCCCACTTCAGTGAAATGATGAAGGGGTAAGTAAATAATATAAAACAACCTGGAGAAGCTGGCTACCCCTGAGTCCTAAGGCTGATAGCAATTCTTCCAGTTCGTGACCTGGTTCCACCAAATCGCTTTCTAACTCACATTCTTGAGAGAGAGAGAGAAAGCATGCAAGCAGGGGGAGCAGCAGAGGGAGAGGGAGAAGCAGACTCCCCACTGAGCAGGGAGCCCGACGCGGGGCTCCATCCCAGGACCCTGGGACCATGACCTGAGCTGAATGGAAGGCAGACACTTAACCGACTGAGCCACCCAGGCGTCCCCCTAACTCGCATTCTTAGTATGACTTATTCCTCCCCTTATTCACAGTGTAGCTTTCGGGGCAGTTTCCACCTGTCGGCATCTTCGGGAACTCTGCAGGAGCATCAGGTGCCAAACTCACCTGGAATCCAGGAAGATCAGCTTCAGGTCGAGGCTGGCCCTGAACATGAACATGTTACTATGCAGCTTGATCTCTGTGATGGCACTGGGCGGCAGCGACTGGCCCACGGCCACCAGCCCCACGATCTGGTAGCACGAGTCATACAGGGACATGTCCAGCATATACTGCCTGATCTTCAAGTAGCCGCTGCAGTGGATGACCTGGGGAGAGCAGAGGGCAGGGTCAGCCGCCGGCAGCCCAGGAGGTCAGACTGGCATCCACTCCTCCTTGCTTGGGGCCTGCCCGCCTCTCGAGCATGTGGGACGATGCCCAGCCCAGCCTCTACTGAGCTGTTGGGCCAACATGCTTCTTTCTCAGGAAACAATATCATAATAAAATGTAAGGGTTGTCTTACCCAATCGACTCTGCTCAAGTAACTCCACAAGGTAAGACTCTAATACACAATGGATTTATCCATAATTAACTCATCACCAAGTCACTACTAGATGGTACAACAAAAGCACCATGGGAAGCTAACTCTTGGTTCCATGATGCTCGCTTGGGTACCTGTAATGCTCATCGCCTCCCAATGGGACTGGATTTGACATCTGTTAACTCGACATTTATATCACTTGACAAGCTATACCATTCCAGTAAATTAAGAATTCTTTCAGTAGAATCAAGAGTCTTCCTTTTAATGTATTTTTGTTTTGTTTATTTATAACTCAAGAATTTATCCCCTTGTAATAAGCAATAAGCAGGAGTGGCTACATAGAAACCTGCTTGTTATAGCCAAAAACCATGCAGGAGAGAACGTATAGTGTTTCAAATGTCAAACAGAAACATTTATGCAACCTACAGCCTCAATATTGGCAGGATTTATGTAAGTTAGAGTCAGTAAAATCTCGAAAGGATCCCAATCATCACGACAGCAGTGATGAACAGCTAAAATCTTAAATTCTCTTTTCAAAAACGTTCCTCCAGGACTCCTGAATTCATTCAGTCTTTAGAGCTGCAATAAATCTTAAAATCCGCCCAGTCTATTGTCCCATCTTACTGATGAGGAGATGGAGGACAAGGTAGGTGATCTGTATTGCTTAAGATTAGACAGTTAATAAGCGGCAGAAATAACTCAAGACCCAAGTCTGTTGGGTACAGGACAGTGCTGGGGGTTCTCCACCCCTGGTCGAGATAGGCTTCGAGTCTGGGTCAGCAAATAAGAAATGTATCCCCACACTATAAAACAGAGTGAGGTAAAGTCAAAGGAAAGAGCTCAGTGTGGGGTTCAAAGGAAGGGGCTGAGGAAAGGCAGCCCCTGGGGTGGGGAGGAGGTAGGGAGCGGCATTCCAGAAAGAGAGGACAAAGGAGGGAGAAACAGTAACTTCAGACTCCAGAGAGGACACAGAAGCTTGGAAGGGGTTGCTCAGCGCAGACTTCCCCCAACCTGCCCTTCCATCTGGGAGTGGCTGATTCTGGTGCTGAGGCACCGCGCCGCCCGTGGGCTCTGCGGGGGACCTACTCCTGGATTCTGGAGCTAGCCAGAGCAGGGGGCCAGGTCTGGCAGAGAAATGCAGCCGGGAGGAACTCTGCCCCTTAGCCTGCGGGCCTCCTGCTGGTCTTCTCCCTTCTCTGCTTGCGTCCCTGATGATCATAAAATGGGGCCAATAATACTCCCCTCAGAGGACTGCCATGACTATTAATTAACTAGATGAGATGCCGCTGCTGAAAGCTCATGGCCCCTCAGAATGGGTTCTATCATTAGTCAAGCACATCATAGTCATCATCCCTGGATTTGGCCGAACGTTCGAGGGTAGGGGCACCGTTTCTGTGCTCTGAATACTCGCTGCCGACCCTGCAATAGGGATTCTCAGTAAGCTCGAGGGGCAGCTCCTCCAATGCCACCGACCTGAGCAAAGCAGAACCTACAGGAAAGGAAAATTCTACCCTGGGCCACGTTTATTCCTGGTCTCCTCTGACGACATCCAGCCCTCCTAGGATATCCTTGTAAGACACCAGCTCTCATACCTGCTGCAGGAGCAGAGGCAAGCGGCCTCCCCGGAAAGTTCTGCCTTAGGCAGGGGGAAATGTCTGGGTCCCTGTGCTTGCTGTCTGCAGATGTTCGCAGTAGGAAGCAAAATAGAAAGCAGTGAAGACCCAGCGCGAACAATTTCTTCCCTCCCCTGACACGAGGATCCTCATACCTTGTATCCACTGCATGTCAGGCCCGCGTTTCTTTTCGCCAAGACACACTTCATCCGCAGAAAGAATGACCTCTCTATCTCATACTCTGAAAGCAGGAGTGAGGTTAGATTGGCCAACTGTCCCCCAGCTGCTTCCCCCGATTTTGTCCCAACAACATCAGTCAACCCTCAGGCCCAGACCAGGCAGCCAGAGACCCTATCCCAGAATGCCCAGCCCCTGACCCAGAGAGTTTCTGCCTGTGGCCACGACCTGGGTGGGCTGGGGAGACTGGCCCCGTCCTGGCGTGGCTTCCACATGCCCCAGAGAGAAGGCAGCCAGAAACGTGGCCGTAGCAAGAGCTCAGGAGACACCAACCTGGGGCCAGGTGAGGACTCTAAGTGCAGTGGGCCCAGCCCCGCTCAACCGGCCCATGGTCCCCTCCAGGCAGGCACAGAGAGGCCTGGTGCCAAAGAAATCACCTTGGCCAGCCCTGGGGCGCATGCTTGAGTTGGCCAGGAGGGCCCAGAGGCATCTGACTTCCCTCAGGGTAGAGGATATTGAGTCAGGACTCCCAAGCACAGCCCTCTCCGCAGCACAGGGAGGCAGCCACGGGGCACCCATCCTGCCCGAGACTGCCATGGAATGGGGAAGAGAACCCAACAGACCCACTCACTCGGCCAGATCGAAGCTTTTGCCCTCATCTAGAGCCCCGGTCCGACCACCCCTCCTTTCTCGATGGCTCTGACCCTCCCCATTCAGTCTTTCCCTGGCTGGCCTGAAGGCCTCACCCACCAATCTCTGACCTCACTATTGCAAATGCAAGCGAGTCCCCTAAGGACACACCCTATGCTTCAGTGAACAGATACCAGTTCTCTGGAATGACGTGTCCATGCCCCTGGGTGAGGATGGCGTCACTCCACTCCTAATAAACAGCTATTTGGTGGCAGTTAATAAATTAATTTTTTAAAGTATTTTTTTAAGATTTTATTTATTTATTTGACAGAGAGAAAGACAGCGAGAGCAGGAACACAAGCAGGGGGAGTGGGAGAGGGAGAAGCAGGCTTCCTGCCGAGCAGGGAGCCCGACGCGGGGCTCGATCCCAGGACCCTGGGATCATGACCTGAGCCGAAGGCAGACGCTTAACGACTGAGCCACCCAGGCGCCCCAATAAATTAATTTTTAAAGAAAGGTTACCATTAGGAGTGGAGGCAATGCCCCCCGCCCCTCCCCAGGGAGAGCAAGGGAATCGCCCGTGAGGCTGCTCACTTCCCCCCACTGTTGGAGGGGCGGCCACATATACCCATAATTCCTCTGCAGCAGGCCGGGGTCTGCGAGGCCTAAGGCTTCCCGGTAACATGCCTGCCTGTCTGCACCATTTCCAGCTACGCACTGAGGTGTGGACGCTCAGCTCTAAACAACTTCACCTGGTAATGACCCATCCAGTTTGGAGAAAGTCAACAGCACAACAACCACGAAGCAGCAGGGCGAGCTCCGCAGCAGAAAACCAGCTCTGTGGATGAGAAGCCGGGGAGCAGTCCCAGCGCCTGTGCACCTTACACCTTGCGCACTCAGATGGCAACCCCACCGGTCCTGGAGCTTCGTGTTTCTCTCGTGTGGTTGCTACACCTCAGACATGAACCCCGCGGGGGCTGGGATTGGAAGGGTCTCTTGATATTCCCAAGACTGGTTTGCTGTCATCTGATAAACACTTAACTTAAAGCTATGACATGGAAAGGTAACATGAAACCAGAGCTCGTGGGAGAAAGTCCATTCCTGTGTAACCAACACTCTGGAACTTTCTAGAACAATAACACAATGGTTTTAGGCGTTCTCTAAGACTCCTGCAGCCTTTTCCAGCTTTAAACAACCCCGCAGTGGGGTCGCCTGGGTGGCTCAGTCGGTGGGCGTCTGCTTTTGGCTCGGGTCGTGATCCCAGGATCCTGGGATCGAGCCCCACGTCAGGCTCCCTGCTCAGCAGGGCATCTGCTTCTCCCTCATCCCTCTGCACCCCACCCCCCACCGGCTTGTGCTCAAGTGCTCTCTCTCTCTCTCTCAAATTAAATAAAATCTTAAAAAAAAAAAAAAGAGTTACAGACCATAGCTACAGACCATAGCCATCTCATCTCAGAAACCAGCACAGCAGTCTCTCTCCCTGGTTAAGGAAAAGTGAGAGGCACAGTGACTATGTCTGGGGCTAAGAACATGGGGGCCACAGGCTGTACCTGCAGGTGGTTTTAAAACGGAGTGTGCTCTTCTGCAGTCTCTCCTTCTAGCCTTAGAACGGCCCCTCCCAGGAGGGAGCAGTACAACTAGAACTTGAGTTCTTCTCCGGCTGCTTATCCCATTCTACCACGCTTGATGTCTCTTCTTTTGCATTCTGTTCTATGGGGAATTTTGGCCAAGTTGGGATACCATAGTCCACAGCAGACAAGAGACCCACTGAGCAGCATGCTAGCTCAGTGGACTGTCAGAGAGGGGGTGTTACAAGGCCAGCGCCCCAGAATAAGTTTGTCGTCCTAGCATGCATTGCAACTGTAACTTAGGGAGTCATTTGCGTAATGATGTGCCCCACATCATTGCTCCCCCGAGCAATCACACCACATTATGTCCTCACACGCGCTTATGGCGGTAGGACCCCAATCCATAGGTGTTCAGTAATGGGACCGTGGTGGAGGAGGTGGAGGATCGTGTCCCCACATGGAGACAGGCCAGTGAAGTGGACCTGCCTCCGTCTAGACCAGGGCTTCTTAACTGATTCGTGCCATGGCACAAAATCCACAGATTCCTACCTGGAATAACGTTTTTAAGTGCAGAAGATAAAAATATAGATCACAAACTGAACCAACTGTATTGAAAACAGTTACCAAAATATTTTTGCTCATATCTTTTGCTAATAAAACAAGTGGTGATTTGGTTATAAATGTGCTGCTTTATTCACGCATTAAATAACAAGAGCCAGCAGCCAGCCTCGTAACTCCTGAAATTTCGAAGTAGTGATGAGCGTGCGTGATAAGTTTATACACTTGTGAGAACTGTAAAGTGAAATGAAAATGTGTGTGACTCTCATCGTTGGCGAAGCCACTGGTAAAAGGGGGAGTAAGATGGTGTACCCCCCATAATCTATAAGCCAAGGAAATGCTACATTCCAACCAGACAGAAGAAAGATGGAATTCTCCACGCGCAGTTTCACAGACCCCTTGAGTTCTATCGGGGACCCTCTGGTTAAGAAGCCCAGGTCTAGACCTGTGTTCCTGGAGTTCTAAACCAAGAGCACATCTTGACCGCTTTCCTTTACCTCCTACCAGCGCCCACCATGGTCTCTGGCAAGAGAAATGGGATCAAGAGTGTTGCTTCAAAGGACAGACGCATAAAAGCAAGTCCCCCACGCCACGTGTTTGCTGGAGAGGCCCAGCTGGGCCACTCCAGTCACGCACACTTCCCCTGGGCAGCATGGGAAGCAAAACCCTCGCATCCCATCCAAGAGCTTCGTCTGGCTTTCGTGCTGGTTTCTTCGTCTGGAGGAAATACCTTGGAGCAGGTGATGGTGAAGGGGCTGGTGGGCCGCAAGCACTGCCGTCATCTCGTCGTGGTCGGAAGGGTGGATGTACTCATAAATACTGTTGCCGGTGAGCTCCACCTGCCACGGAGGGAAGGGAAGGGTCAGAAATCCTCTGGGGTCTGCGCAGGTCGGGGAGGGGAAGGTGGACAATCGGTACGGACTGCGAGGGACAGAGCTTTGACCTCTGCTCACAGTGCACACCTTCTCCACATGCAGAAACCCGCGTCTTTTATCAAGCAGCACCCTGAACCGTCTCCCACGTGGGGATGTGAGCTGAAAGCCACAACGTGGGGATGTGAGCTGAAAGCCACGACAGTCCCGAGCGGGAGGAACTGGGACAGGAAGGATGAAAGATGAGCCATGGAGGTGGGTGCCCCCCCATGGCCCCGGGCGGTATCCTTTACACAGGAAGCAGCTTACAGCAGACTGGAGCCAAGGCCTGGCCCCACCGTGCTCCACCCACACCCCCGTGCTGCCTGAGGGGCCTGGCCAGCCGGGACACCAGCGGCCAAGTCCAGACGATGGTCCCTGCGAGGGTCACGTCCTCTCCAAGGCTGAGCCAGGTGGGAGCCATGGGGGCTCCACTGCACGTGAGGAGGGCTCGCACCCCGACAAAGGCCCTTCCTCGGGCACCGCCAAGCCTCCTCCCCGTTGCCAGAAACATGTCCCTGGTCTTCTGACTCTGGGATGACCGGTGACCCAATAGCTCCCGCCCACGGGTGCGGCGGGGCGGCTGCGTGACCTGCGGGGCCGTTTGGGCGCACTCCAGACAGCCATGTGACACGGTGGTAATTTCCGGGGGTCGCGACCCCAGCACTTGGATGCCGCCTACTTCCAGGCACACCCTGCAGAGGACACGATGGCAGGCCCAGAGCCCACGTGCGTGTTGGACGGGACCCTTGCAGGGACGGGGGTCTCTAGGAAAACACCAGCATTAGGACCTTTCCACAGAGATTCCTGGTGACTCGACACCGAACCTTGAGAACTTTCCTACTGTTCTCCCAAAAGTAAGTGCCACGATAGGGGATGTTAGAGAGTCTCAAGACCTGGACACCCTGACCCATCACCCCAAGATGGGCGGTGCCGTAGAATGTTCCAGAGACTATGACCATCAGAAGGGCCTTCTGAGCAGTGGTGGGTGGACCCTGTTGTAGAGATGCAGTGGTGCAGACAAGAACAGTGCACCCAGTATTGACCAGGAGCCCAGGCCAGTGATGGCTCTTCCATCACAGCCCTCAGGAGCCCCAAAGCCCGGGGTGGGGGGCGGGGAAGCTGAGAGCGCGTGAGAAACTGCCCTCGGGTGGCAGGGAACCGTGGGCAGGTCTGACTCAGTCTTTCTCAGCTCTGCCCCACGGGGAGAGGGCAGGCTAAAAGAGCAAAGGCAGGCTTGCGAGGGCCTTGTCCCCAACCACCCCCTTGTTATTTTTAAGTGTGTCATGCCTCATGTTTTGTTGGGAGGCTCACTGGTCTCCCTCAGAGCGAAGCCAACACCATCTCCTGTCAAGGGGCCGCTCTGCCCGGGCCACCTCACGCAGCAGGACAACCACAGGCAATTTCATGGACAAGTTCTTCTGGGCGCCACTGTTCCAAATTAGCATCAAGGCCATCAGCTCCTTCCTTGGGACTGAGCAGCCAGGGAGAGGTGAAGGAATTTACCCCCTTCCTCTGAGCCAGATCTTCCAATTAGTTAAGATGTAGGGGTTACCATTTTATTCAGAACAAATTCTGTTTCTGGCCTGCTAAGTAATCTTGTCCCTAAAACGGCTTTTGTAGTTCTGTTTTCTGCATTATTCATGGAATGTTTCTTGCCAATATTATGCCTACAGAGGAACGGAGACAATCCTGTTACAGAGAGCCTCCCTCCCTCCCCACAAGACCCAAAAGGGGATTTGCCTATGACCAAAGTTATTACGTGAGTTCATTAAAAACAATAAGGATTAAGAACTAAATAGTGTCCTTTCAAATCATTTCTGTTCATCCTTAAAAAATTTCGATAAGCCAGCAAGTGTTAAGTCAGCCATTTGGGACAGGACCATCTCCTCTTCCCTGAAGTCAGTGATGGGGATTCCTGGTAAGCTCTGTCAGGTGGAGAGGGACAGAGGCAAATCAATAAGGGAGCTGGGCTTTTTTTTTTTTTTAATCGAGTCACATTTCAACAGCTTATTTTTTTTAAATATTTTATTTATTTATTCATGAGAGTCAGAGAGAGAGAGAGAGGCAGAGGCAGAGGGAGAAGCAGGCTCCCCGCCTAGCAGGGAACCCGATGCGGGGCTCGATCCCAGGACCCCAGGATCATGACCTGAGCCGAAGGCAGACGCTTAACCATCTGAGCCACCCAGGCGCCCCTCAACAGCTTATTTTTAAAATGAAAACACAACGAGATAGATTCTGTGTGTGTGTGGGTCTATCATCTCTCTCTTACTCATGTTCTTAGGGGAAAAAATGAGCATTCTGGTTTGCACCAAGTTCTTAATCAGAAAAAAGTACCCCATGTCTTTTTAGAGAAAGTATATTTATATACTTGCATCTGTCCTTACAGGGATTCGATTCGCGTTTTAATCCCAAAGCAGCTTCATCTGTCTTCAAAGGCCCCATTCTCACCACATGTGTTTGGAGAATGAGAAGAGAGAAGGTCCATGAATTAAGAGGCTTGATTTTCTGAATCCTTGGTTCAATTATAAACTCCAAGGCTGTCCAGGAAGTAAAATGGTCTTCAAATAACAGAAATGTTTTTAAAGAACAAATTTTGGAATGATAAAACAGTGCTGACCTTGACTCAAAATTATGGTTGACATGGTGTTTCCTGTATTTACATATCTATTCGTGCTTTTGAATGGTTGAAGGAAATGTGACTACCTCACAAAAAAAAAAAATTATGGTTGTCGCTATAAAACTCCCCAGGTCTCATACATCAACTGTATTAAAACAGACCTTCAATGTGATATTTTAGTATTTGTAAAACCCTGCTAACTACAAAATGAATTGCTTTCCTACTAAGAGCGTTTTTATGTTTTGCTGAATAGCTTTCCTTCCTGCCAAGAAAACTACATCTGATAAATACAGCACTAAATGGATATATTCTGGGTCGGGAGGGGAAAGTCACCCAGTACTCTGGAAATACACATTACTCTGCTTTGGGTGTTTTGCTGACTATGGTAAATTAAGCATTAAAAAAAAAAAAAAGATGGTTTGGATTTCAGAGTTCGAGTTATGTCAACAAACATAAAACGCTATCCTTTCTCTTTATTTCAAAAGTGCAAGGATTAGGTCTTATGGCCCCAAACAATGCCATGGCTATTTTTACGGCTGTGGTTCCGGCCACACTCTCAAATATTACATTTTCCTTTATATGTCTCATAAAAGGCTATTTCACACATATCTATAGTTATTTGAAAATTTATATTAGTTACCTAGATGCTGCTGTATGACGTATGTGGCTTTGGTGAAGAAATTTAAACCACAGGGATGCTTAAAAGAGTCTGCGGAAATACACAGCAGGTATACAGGGCTTTTTTTTCCTTCTTCCAATATAAGTTAAGTTAATTACATTAACCAAAAAACCATGGAACTAGCCACCTAGTAAACCCGCATGGAAAAAGAGTGCTTCCCCAGCTCTATCTTTTGACCACATGAATCATTACCTATTATTTGTGTGTGCACACACCAAGTAGGATTTTCAAGCCTGTAGCCTGACTCTGTTTCCCCACACTCAGACTGTGAACTGAGGAGACAACTTGCAATTCGATGTCAGCTCTGTCACTCTTTGGTCCGAAAGTCCAACAGCGAGGATCACCCTGTTTACTAATTTAAAAGCAAAAATAATAAACTCTGCCAGATTTCTTACTCCCACACTTGTTTTAAAAGAGTTCAATAAAAGGCTTTGGATTAGGACGGGCTTATAACACATAAAGAATGATTTTCATACTCTCAAATACATCACTCAGATAGTTATTTAGATAGCGCAGATTAAAAAAAAAAAACAACACTTTGCTGTGAATTATCACACAATTATGACAAACCTAGGAGCTTAGGTTCCCCAGGAGCTGCTAACATAGAGTTTAACCCTGAATTAATGTGAAAGATGTTGTTACTTAATGAGATAATGTCACTGAGAGTAATTGAAAGTTCTTGGACCACAGAAGGACACTATGTAAATAAAAGCTATCGGTACTATCGTTATTCATCAGAAAATCTATTTAAAGGGTTACTCGGCCTACTGGATAGAATTTTCTTAACACTTTCATCTCTGAGGATTTAAAAAAAATCCTTAAGCCTATTTTAATAAAGTTTTCATGTTTGACATATTTGCCTGACTTCTTACTACTAATACAAATAATCTAAAAGGTACAAAAAAATTTTTTTAAAAGGAGAAGTTGGGTATTTGACATCCTTTTCAATACTTCATTTTACTATTTAAGTAAAGAAGTCAGAAAAAAATACACATTGTGATTCTGCCTAGATTTCCTTCTGCAGAGTTAATCGTGAGCAGGAGACAGATCGGAGGGAAAGGTTTGTTGTTGCTTATTTAAACAGTTCAGCGTGGAACACTCCCCAGACCCTAGCGAGGGTTCACGTCTGCATTAAAGTGTTTTCATAGCTGGAGACTGATGGTGAGACAGTCCCGCCAAGAGATCAGGGGGAAAAAAAACATCAGTCCCTCTACACAGTTAGTTTGATTTATCTTTTTTTAAAACTGACACTTCTCCCGGCCGGCAACATATAGACAAAAGGCATCTCTACAACATTCTTGAAAAATGATAGTGTGTAGAACTCCCTCCCTTTTCAAAATTATGACTCCAAGTTTTATTTCTGCATTATGACCAAAAGGAAATATAGTTTCAATTGGGATTAATCCTGAACAGGAGTTCATCATGAACAGGAGGCAGATTTGTCACCTATCCGATATTTTGTTCATTCTTAATTATTGTGCTCATAAACGGTCAATTTCATTTCCCACATAAAAAGAGAAAAATGACAGAGAGAGAGTTGTAGGATGCTAGACTGAGCAGCCTGACTGAGTCAACTGGAGTCCTGGGATGTGCGCAGGGCCTTATGATGTGCCACAACATTCCACAGGACTAGGCAGCCCCAACATGTGCCCACCAAAGGACACTATTTGAAGAACTTTTGTGCTACCTGATGTATAGATCTAATGAAACTGTGGGGACACTTGGATTCTGTGCAGCTCCCTATTGTTTATAAATGACATAAAATGGGCACTTTGATATAGTTCTTACCACAATCCTGAAAGAGAGGTAGAGCAGGCAGGATTGTCTTATTGAAGTGATGGTTCAGGGAGGCTAAGTACCTGACCTATCGGACAATGAAAACCATATAACTGGGCATTTCCCTTTTTGCTTTGACTGCTAGGGAGCTCAGATCTAAATTTAATATCTGAAAATAGTGACTGTACCTGTTTCATCTTTACCAGTCCTTTTTAAAGGAGGTGAAATGTTTTATCTTGTTTGTGACATTATTCTAAGACTAACCAAAGATTCAATAAATTACAATTGAAAAGTCAAGTAATCTGCTCAAAATCATTCAGCCACAGATAGAACGATGTCTAGACACCAGACTGGTTACAACAAAAAGACCTTAAGTAATTCTAAATAGGGTAAGGTGGAAATTCAGAGCATAACAACCTTGGAAAATATGTAAATAGTACATTTCATGTTCCCAACAGTATTTCCCGTTCTACGAGTATACTAATGCCATCAGTCATGGAAGTATAAGGGCCAAGCCTTAGCAAATCTTAGCTGGGAGACCTGGTTTTATAAAGGAAGAGAAGAGGAAGAGAAAAGGAAACACTAAATAATTTTAATATGAGATTCTCTTTAAAGGACTTTACGTAAGAAACAGAGGCACAGAAACCCCCTTGGGCATGGATGAGGATATGCACACATTGGAAGAGAAGGCTGTAAATAAATGGCAAGTTTAAAAAAATGCAATGGTAGAAAAAGAAAAGGAATACACCAGATGCAGGTTTCCAAATTGGTAATTTTGTTTTTCCATAAAAAAAAACAAAAAAAAAACCCCAGCCCCGTTAATTGGCCGGTTTTATTTTGGCTTAACTACAGAGAGGGCTGGTGCAATACAGATTATTCATCTGCCTCCTGGGAGCCCATTTCCTGTCCCTAATTAATTCTAGTGTGTCTTCAGTCGTGATGAAAAAAAGCACTCTGATAAGTCACAATATAAAGAAACATTTAATCCCTAGATGTATAAAAAAAATGTGACTCTTAGAACCTCCACCAGGCTTGTTAAATCAGAAATGTGAAGGGCCACAAGCAGACTCCTCCCCTCCCCACATTCCAAGGAGCTGAGACAGCAGCCGATTTCTGCCCCCCCCCCCCCCACGCCCCCCCCCCCCCCCCCACCCCCTTGGCTTGACCGGAATAGATAAAAGCTGAGCGCATCTCTTTCCTTGACGGGATAAACCCCTTTTTAAAAGACAGTTCCAGAAAAATCGGTAATATTTAAATGTTCTAGAGAAAACAGGACCTTGCTGTGAAAACAGTAGTAAACTGAGTTTTATGAGTTTCTATCACAAGCATATAAAATGCTTTACTGAAGCGACCACTGAACTGGAAAAACTCAGGAAAAATTACCCTGAATTCCATGTGAACACTCATAAATCTACGCACCCCCCTCCCCGGGCCGCCTTCTCTCTCCCCAAAGCACAGTCTGCATAAAATCCATGTTCAACATCAGTTTTCCTCTTGCTTTCATGGCAACTCACAATACCACGTGCAGCCCAGCAAGCATGGACAGAAAAATCTCCCTTTGTGAGGTTCTTGTTAGTGGAAGAGTGTTACTGTAGAAGCAGAGTCCAGGCTATCAGGCAGAATCTCAGAACAAAGCTGACTGTTGCAAAGATATACTGGTCATTAATCCCAAAGGAAAAAGAAAGTAAAACCGGGAAATGCAACATGAAGAAAAGCTCAGCGGGATGGCCTAAGAAGATGATTTTGCAGTTTTGGGTTATTTCATACACAAAAGCAGACGCTTAAACAGAATCATCGACAAGTTGGGTAACACGGTCAAGATCCGCCAACGCTTACTTTTATATTTTGGTTGTATATAAAATTAGGTAATACTTACCTGTGACAAGCCCAAATGCACAGAAGCTGTTTCCGATATATACATGATTTTGCCATCAGATGCTACCACGAAAACAAATCCATCCAAAGTCTGTAAAAAAGAGTGCCAGGGGAAGAGGTGATAGTTAATACAGTAGACTGAAAACTCATAATCGTACTGTCACTGAGGTGGAGGAATGTATAAAATCTTATCATCCATACATAGTTGTTAAATGCAAAACGAGCCCAGGGCCATAAGAAGGATTCCAGGTTATAACACTGAAGGTTTAATTCCTGGGGCCAGGCTCTCAAATGCTTTTAAAGCACTTTAAAAACAATCTTATATCCACATCACAAAAATCATGCAAAACACTCGAGAACTCCTAACATGCTCAGTTTAAATGCAGTAGTTTTATTGTTTAGGGTTATTTTAGCACTTAGCACAAATCCGGAGTTCTATGGTACTTAGGGGGAAACCTACCACTCTATAGACCATTTTATGTCATAATTGGCAGTCCTTTATACCACTAGGACATATGCTTTATTTGCCACAATTTTCTAGTTACCCCTAAGTACCATTTGAATAATAAATTCCGAACACTACCACTCCCCTGAAAATAAAATACCCGGTTATTTTAACAGACTATGTCTACAGAATTAACTACTTAGAATTTGCAAGAGATCAAGCAACCTTTGCAAAATTCAAGGAGAAAAAGTATCAATCTCTGAAAAATTAAAACTACCTAAATGATACTGCCTAAGTTGGCTAGCCCTCAAAAAAATAAAGTAAAATTTTAGGAGTTAATTAAGACAAATAAAAAGGTAATGATTATATTTATATGTGGCAAGGATAAAAAGACTAAATTATTTTTGAAAAAGGAAACTGCATTTTTATTTACCCATTCATATTTTAGATCCAGAACCAAAGAAAAGCAATAAAGTTGGTGAAAGATCCATACAACCCACAATGCTGCCCCCATAAAAAATATTCCAAATTAATTTCTGGCCACAAATTCTATTTTTACAGCATGTAATTGAAACCAGATTACCTTCGGTTTTTCTAAATCTGCCCCCTCTTTAGAGGGGGCCTACAAAGAATGTAGTAGAAGTGAAACTTGAAAGATATCCTTACATTCTGCCGTCTCAAACACAGTTTTACTGTAAAAATCCTTTGCCAACTCAACTATCATCACCCTAACCTACACTGAGGTTGAAATCAACATCTTGATTATAAGCCTTACTTTCTCGTTTCTAACTCAGCTACAAAATATTTTTGCAACGAAATTCCGTTTCAGAAATATAAACTATACAGCAATTTCTAAAGTTATAAACGTTTTGGCACATTTTAAACTTTTGCTTAACTCCAAAATCATTAAAGAGATACATTTATTGAAACAGTATCTGACAGCCATACGAGAAAAAAAGAAAAAAATTATCATAATTAAATTCTGAAAGTTGCCAGCAGTAGCTAAAAAAATAATATCGTTAATGGAAATTGTTGGGTATGTCTTCCTAGCTTCCAATGACCTAATTCGCTTGAATGTATATTAACAGTAAACAAGCCCGTCGGCACAGCATTCCGGAATTAAAGAAATGCACAGTGGAGGAACCTATGCCCGCCGGGTTTTCACTGAGTTGTCCCTGACGTTAGGGTCACTTATAATATGTAGGAGTATCAAACAAGCAAAACACCACGCACGGAGCTGGAAGTGAGCGAGGGGGTGAGCGCAGGGCGCAGGAAGGACTCCAAGAGTGCCATTTCGCCGCCTGGCTACCACATCGTTCGCTTTCTGCTGTAAAAGCTTCAGGTATCAAATATTCTCTGGGATCTTCTCTTCCCCAGAGCATGCATTAAAAAAAAAAAAAAAAAAAGGGAAAAAATCGTACTAGGACATCTGGGGAAAGGGGTTTTGAAAAGATCCGCTTTTTTCGAAATGCGGTGCTCTTGGCTGACTCGCTGACCCAAGTCATTGCGCACTGCCGCCAACCTATTTTTTTTCTTTTAAAGAAAACACAAAATAGAAGGAGGAAATGCAAAACAGCTCTTGGTAAGCATTTTTCGATGGCAGAGACAAATGACAGGTGAGGGGAATGAATCGGGTCGTTGATGAGGCTCTGTAAAGGGCATTTGAAAGATTCGGAGACAAGAGGCGTTGCTGTCCCCACCTAGCGCCAGCCGCTGACTTGGAAATGGCTGGTCGTGTGCACGCTTAGCTGGCCAGAGCCGCAGACACTGCGGGCCAAAGCCCAGGCCAGGATTGGTTTATCAACCCTGGACTAAATGACTCTGAGCCGAGGGCTATAAGCGGCTGACCACAAACCAAGCAAGGGCTCCTTCCGTGAGCCGGGTGACCCCAGAGGCCGCACCAGGTCCTAACCTGAAGCACTCAAGAAGTGGAGGACTTGGGTTGAACCAGGCTCCAGCACTTGCTGTGTGACCTCGGGCATGTTGCTTAACCTGGCTGTGCCTCAATTTCCTCCTTTGAAAAAATGGAGTTCAAAACAGAACCTACTCTAGGTGGGTGATGACGCACCCTGATACAATAAGATTTAAAACAGAATCTGGTCCGTAGTAAACTCTCAATAAATGCTAACGTTAATATTCTATTACAGATACTGTCTTTCTTTTCTTGCACCCCTTCCAAACATACACGATTGTCAAAGGCTTTAGGACGGCCACACTCTGGCTCAGAGCCTCCCCCGGATCATTCCTTCTTTGGCTCAAGCGCCTCGCACAGCATCTATAACTGAGCAATGGCTCCACAAAAGTTCCCTAAGCGAAGTAAGGTTGGAAAGAACCGCGCCTCCACTGGCGACCGTAGGCCTAGGTCTGGTGAGCTGGTGAGTACTGGGGCTGGGACACGGTGAGATGCCAGATGGGGGTGGGGCTGGCCAGAGGTTACTCTGAGCTGTGTCCCCTCTAGTCCCGGCCTCCAAAAAGGATGCACGAAGGGACGGTGGGGAGGTAGACAATTGCCTCCAGGTCCAGCAGCTTTCTCTGGCCTCGGCGACTTCTGCAGCCTGATGGTGTCCTATGGATCCATCCGGGGCTCCTTGGGGAGGGACATCTCGAGGCTGGAGTGGCGGGGTCAGAAGGGAGCCCCCACGCGGGCGCAGGACAGCGCCTTAGGCAGTGGCTGCGCTCCTCCCCCCCTCAAAGGAGCCTCACCTGAAGCAAGTGCGATCCCAGCTCCTTGGCGACGCTGTCCAGGGGCCCCGCGCGGCTTGGCTGTCCCCACGCGTCTCCTAAACCTGGACCGGGGAATAAAGCAAATCAGTACATGGCAGCGCCGATCGAGAGGCCCCCACGCCCCGCAGAGCGCGCGGAAACCTCCCCACCGCGCGCCCTGGTGGGCCGGAATCCCGAGCGTCCCGCCTGCCGCCTCCTGGGCCCCGCAGGCCGCCGTCTGTGTTCTTGCCATCGACCCTTTGCCCTGGATTAAAGAGAAAAAAAGGCCAGAGGAGATATTCCCGCCGAGGCCTCGGGTCCAAGCGCCCCCAGTGCGCGCTGAGCTGGCCAGGCCCATAGCTCCCGTGGGTCGCCCACGTGCTCACGGCTCCGAAATTGCCGTTTTATTTGAAATGCCATAAAGTAATCTAATCTGCTTTGAAACCTGCCATCCTCGAAGCCAAACGGGGATATGGATTTGACCTGTAAATACTCCCCCAAGGACCCTCCCTCACTCCCTCCCTTCACTGTGTGGCCGGCAACTATGCATTTTCCTAAAGATAAGCCCAGACGAAATGTCCTAGCCGTCCAGGAGGCAGTTTTTTCTGCATTAAAAAAAAAGTTTTTTGTTTTTTGTTTTTTTTTTAAACCTCACGTAATCCCTCGGACTCCCCAGCCCTCACAGGCGCCTCGGGAGCGCGGTGCCTCTTCCGATCCTAGTGCCCCGGCTTGGGAAGGGTTTACCTAGAGCCTTCCCCAGAACAAGCTCCTAAAGCACCCGAGGCGGGGAGGGGGAGGGGCCGAAGGCGGTGGGAGTCTTGTAGGTACTCGACGATAACTGGAAGGTATCAGTTGCCACATAACTAGGGTTCCCCAGTTCTTAACTGCCCCCCCAAAGACCTCCTGCTTCTCCCCCACCACCTCCCTGAAGCTCGCAAGTGTTTCAGAAAGCGCACCAGGGGAAAGGTGGCCCCGCTCAGCGAACCCTCCTCTCCTGTGTCCCCGGCTCTGCTGCGTGACCCCAGAAATCCCAGGCTTTCTTCTGCGTATTCGGGAGAAAGTAGAAAAGCCGGGTGAGGTTTCGGCGCTAAGTGCCAGGTGGGAGAACCCTCAGCGGCTACCCGGAGTCCTTCTGCAGCAGGCGGGCCAGCAACTGTCCAGTTAGCGCCACCGCCCAGGCGCGACGTGGAGAAGGCCCGCGACTGCGGTCCTCAGCCTGTGCCCCATCGCCTCCAGTGGAGAAGGCAGCCCCAGGCTCCAGGCCCACTCGTGCACCGGCTGCGACCCCTCCGGGGTGAGCTGTGGGTCCAGCTCCCTTCCTGCAGGCCAGACCGGCCTCTGCCCGCTGCGCTCAGGGAGTGCGGGACGCGAAGCCAGAGCGGGTCGCGCAGGATGGGGAACCTCGCGTAGTCTCAGCGAATTTGGGGACCATTCCCGGGACCACAAAACTCCCCCAAGCGGACTGTGGCGAGTGGGTGGCCTGGAAAGTCCCCGCGCAGGCACTCTGGGTCTCCCCGCGCTGTCCCCGCGGGTGTCAGGAAGCACAACTTCTGGAGGCCTCCACCCCAAGCACGAGGGAGGCGCCTGGCCCCAGAGCCCCTCGGGGCCCAGGCCGCCGCAAGAGGCTTTGGAGACCCTTCCCTGCAAACTCTGTTCAGCACAAAAGGGATGACCTTTAATTTCTCCTCCTAAGCTGTAGGAATTAGGGGCTTATCCTGGTCTCCCCATAAGGAAGTGACTAAATTCCACATATCCTGATCCCCCAAACAGGATCACAGCCCCTCAACCTCCACGGAGGTGTCTTCTCAACCCCAGGAAATTACTGTCTGCCCAATTTCACTTCCAAGGATGACCACAGTGACCATAGTAGGGCACCAATGGCTCTCACCAGCGGGTCCCCCCCCAGCCCCCATCTGTGCAGGATGGCTTGGTTGGGGTCAACGTTTACTCCATTAAGGAGAAATGGAAAGAACCAACATTTAAAACTGGGGGACTTGAATGAAAAAGAATTTAATAAAGACCCAGGAATCCTGATTTCTGAAAATGGACAACCGTGCCCTGGTAACTGTCCTTTACCCAACTCCTGGGTCCTTTGCCTGGTTCGCACCACACTAGCCTTGCCTGGCTCAGCAGGAAAAGTGAACTTGGCCTTCCAGATTAGGCTTCTTGCAGTGTCCACAGCCAGGTGACCTGGGGAAATCTGTACCTCTGGGAAAGGTGCAGACCCAAACCAGACTTCCCTGCCCAGCTCTCCCAAAAGCCTTGTGGAAGGCTCTGGCCTTACATCCAAAAGTGCACTGGGTACACAGGACAATTTTTCATATAATTCAAATACCCGGATACTTCAAAAGCGCCTGTTCTCTTATATCATTGTAATTTTTCCCATAATTTCCTGACACCTCTGCTTTGCTGGTAGATCTTCCAGCAACCCCATCGGGGGCTCCCTGCTCCGCAGGGGGCCTGCTTCTCCCTCTCCCACTCCCCCTGCTTGCGTTCCCTCTCGCTGTGTCTCTCTCTGTCAAATAAATAAATAAAATCTTAAAAAAAAAAAAAAGAAAGAAACCTCTGTGGGTGAGACCTTTTCACTCCACCCATAAAAATTTACTTTGGGCTAAACGCAGAGACTAAATAAGGTAAGGTTTGTAACAAGAACAAAAAATAGTCTTGGTACTTGTAAAGCCATATATATCCCCCCCAAAAGTGAGGCGCTGGGCATGTGGCCCTTATCTGGACCTACCAAAGGGCTTTATTTGTTTGAGAAATGAGGGGAGACAGGTAAGACTGAGCTAAGCTCCTCCAAGGTTATCAGTGACCTCATCTGATCCTGGGAGCACCCACCTTCCACTGACTGTGGGGGGAGCAGCGGAAGGGCGGGGAGCACCCCAAGCCTGGCCTGTGGTTCCCCTGCCAACGTTTGCTATCCTAATTGCTCTACATGTGTCAGCAGGGAAATCCACTGGGGACTCCCTTCTACTGGGAATCCAGATGGCCAGGCCATGGCGGGAGGAGGCCAGCCACTGGGTCAGAAGAGAAAGGGTGCCAGGAATCCCCTTTCCCCCTCTGCCTCTGAGGGTTTGTGGGTACCTGCACCTTAGTATCCACACTTGGCTATTTGGCTGACTGGCTGTTTGGTTTAAACCTTACCAGGCTCTCCCGCCACTGAAGCTATCTAAATACGGTCCCGCCTCTCTGGGTGCTCAGTCAGTCAGTCAACAAACAGCTGTTGAGCACCGGCTGTGCAACCCCAGAGAAAGGGTCTGGAGTTTGATAAGAACTCCTGGGATGGACAGCGGTTTCTGGAAGGCAGCCTTGGGTATCTGACATGGTGACAAGAACACTCCTCGCAGGGATCTTGTGAAAACTAAACAGGGTTAATAGGGGACCATCTGACCCTGCCACCACCCGTCCATGGAGAACTGGATCTGGGATTGAGAAAAATCCAGGACAGACCTTTCTGGAGCTCCCAGGGGACACAGGGGGGGATCTCACCTCCTTCTGCCCCCACTCCCCAGCTGGGCCAGTCTGGATGGTCTGATCTCCAGCAAGTGCCCTGACCT